TTTGGGAGGGGCTGTAGATTGTATGGAACTGCTGTAGCTTGTGAGGGGAATGTTGTAGTTTGGGAGGGGCTGTAGATTGTATGGAACTGCTGTAGTTTGTGAGGGGAATGTTGTAGTTTGGGAGGGGCTGTAGATTGTATGGAACTGCTGTAGTTTGTGAAATGATAATATAGCTACTGCATAACCTTACTTCTAAAATCAAACTACCAATCTCTCCTTGGAAAGTTGTAGTTTGCTATCAGGTGTATGTAAAATATGGACATTAGATGTAAGTTGTGTCCATCTGCTGTCAGGAAGAGATTATGTGGGTCTGCCATCAAGGGAGGGTTGTGTGGGTGTTCTGTTAGATGTGGGTTGTGTGAGTCTACTGTCAGGTGGGAGTTGTGTGGGCCTGCTGTCAACGGTTGAGATGAATGCCCATTCTCCTACATGCAAAGGTTGCACAAATGCTACTCTCTGCACCTTTTATATGATGCATTTCTGTTAGACCAAGCTCCTTTGGCCACCTAGTACAAATAACAGCATGCATCGACGTCTACTTAGCAGCCATGATGCTTTCTCAACTGTACATTGTTTTATCTCCTTGTGTGCATTTTTTTGTAAGGCAACTTAATGATGACTCTTAACTCATTCACCGGCGGAAAAATTGTGAGCTTTTGAACTGGAGAGTTAAACAAAATTCTTCAAATGCTATGGACCAAGATAAATAAAAACAAGAACATTCGACATGATCAGAACATCGAGGAGAACTAGCACATAAACAGCATCCTGTCCCAAGAGCTAAGGTATTTTAGCTGTTTATCTTCAAAGTGGCCTGGAAGAAAACCTTTATAGACAATGAGACAAATGTGGATACAAGACATTAAAGATGCATTGACTATGAAAGCACACAGGGCTGGAGAATTGGTTAAAGAAACAGAGACTTTCAGTTGTGTTGTAATGAGAGTGACGTTCTGTAAAAATCTGATGAAGTATATGTCTCAGATTTCACATAAGATATATGAACATCAAGGGATCAGGTTTCACACAGATAAATGAAACTCATGTGATCAGGTTTCACACAGATAACTATCTTGTATGGTCATAACATGTAGTCAGATCAGACCTAAGTTTAGTCATTTGTATATTTGATTTTGTTTACTTTTGTATAAACTCTGTTTCTGTAGTACAGCAGTTCCCAGCCGGTACACTTCCAAGGGGCTTCATGGATACACTTCCAAGGGGCTTCATGGATACACTTCCAAGGGGCTTCATGGATACACTTCCAAGGGGCTTCATGGATACACTTCCAAGGGGCTTCATGGCTGCTTCAGGAAAATAAATGTGTTGAATGAAATTAAAGATTAAGAAACAAAAAAGTAGCCAAGGGGCTATGCCAAGGAAATTTAATTCTAAAAATGGCTCCCGAAGCCAGAGTAGTTGTAAAATGCTACTTTATTAGATTCTGCATACACATTTGACTACACTAGTCTACTTTATTAGATTCTGCATACACTTTTGACTACACTGGTCTACTTTATTAGATTCTGCATACACTTTTGACTACACTGGTCTACTTTATTAGATTCTGCATACACTTGACTACACTGGTCAGGCATGATCTCATCAGTTTCTGTGTTCAGTTTTATATATACTTGTGTTTGCTATGTCTGTCTTGCTAGTCTTGTGACCAAAAGAATGCATGTGTTTAAATTGTGTTTCTGCTCTATAGAACTTGCGAAGGAATCGGAGGGTGGAGCATTCAGGAGCGGAGCTATCACTCCAGATGGTCTTATAGATGAAGACTTTGAGAAGGAGCTTGGGACACCAGCAGTATGTATATTTTTTAATGCAGTAAATAATTTTGATTTCAAATTCCAAGTGTGGATTCTGGGCCCCAGTACAAGTATGTAGTAAAAGATGACATAAAGTACAAGGTAGACCAAGAACAATGTGGAAAGATAACATCAAAGAAATTCTACACGTGTCTATGACCGAGGCAGCCATAAAAGAAAGACCTTATATCTTCCTCAACACCAAAAGTGGTAAAAGAGGAAGTGAAGAAGAAGTAGAAGATCTGAAGTATGTTCAAATACAAGTATGTTTTTCTTATGATCTGTGTATATTTGGTTCTCGTGAAAATAGTACATCTATGTGTCTGGTGTTATCATCATTGCAGGCATGGTGTATCACCCATCACCTTATGGGACTGATAGAGTTGACTCCCGGCCACACAATAGTCATATATCATATAGGGTCATGTGACATTTTACTAGTACCAATGACTTTGAGTGAAGGAGTGCACTGGGGAGTATACTAACTTTACCCCATAACTAGAAAATGGAACCTGAAAACTCAATCTTTTGGCAGGGCAGACCTTGTTTTGGATCTGATTTAGGATTAAAGAAGTTAAAGAAATGACAGAGTGCTGTTCTTCTGATCTGGCAGCTTCTACAACATGCTGTGTTCCAAATGTATTGGTGTTACCTTTCCTTCGGCATTAGCAAAGCATCCCAGGATATGTATCATTCTGTATGGGCAACACTGAGTCTCTACATTATGCCTAGGCTTTGTGTTAAGGAGAGGAGGAGCTTCACCCCTGGCCTTTATTGTCATTGCCATGGACTGTGATACCTATATGCTCCCTACAGCGCAGTGAAACAATTTCCACTAGAAAGATGCCAACAGGGTCATGTTATACTTATTATAGGATCATGTCAGTGTTATAAACAGATGAGGTCCTGTCAGTATTATTATCAAAACTTGTGTCAGTATTTTCAGTACACCGTGGGTCATGTGGTTGGTAATATCTGGGACAAAGTGAGTTGTGTTTGAATTTGTACGGGGGCCCTCATGTTTTATGTTTGACCCACAGGAGGAGGAGCCACAAGAGTTCAGTGATGTGGAAAGATACGGCATTATTGAAGTTGCAGGTACGTTGTGTCACACAGTCTGAGGTGTTGATTGCTGTCACGTTTTTGTCTGATTGTATGTCTATTTGGTACATGATATGTGCACACATCAGATCTTTATGTACCTTAATGTTTAAATTATATTTGTGCGTACACTGTACATGTTTAAATGATATCTGTGTTTGCATGGTACATGGGGGCACATGATATCTGTGTGTATATGAAGTTTGTGTTTTCACGATATCTGTTGTGTATGATGACTGTGCATATAAATTTGTGTATACATCATGTTTGTGCATATATGATGTTTGGGTGTGCATGATGTGTGTGTGTGTGCATACATGGTATTTGTATATACGTCATGTTTGTCTGTACATGATGTTTGAACATATTTTCGTCTTCTTCTTCGTAGTGTTCACCGGCTGTAGCTCCAGCAGAAAGTTCTGGTTGGTTGGTCATCCACTTCTGCACTTTGGTCTTGTTCCACCCATTTGACAGACCTGGCTTATACCTGACTGTTGGTTCCTCGCCTCTGAGGAGGCAGATACACTTCGACTGTGAAGGATACACCCCTTATTAGCCGTCTGTTAAGACATGCTCGTTTAGGAGGCAGTGGGTCTATTCTTCGCCCAAAATTCAGGCCACAGAACCCATACAGGGGAGGCATATTATGTTTGTGTATACATGATGTTTGTGCATTCATGATGTTTGTGCATACATGATGTTTGTGCATACCTGATGTTTGTGCATTCATGATGTTTGTGCATTCATGATGTTTGTGCATAGATGATGTTTGTGCACACATGATGTTTGTGTATATATATGATGTTTGTGCATACATGATGTTTGTGTATATGTGATGTTTGTGCATACATGCTGTTTGTGCATACATGATGTTTGTGCATTCATGATGTTTGTGCATACATGATGTTTGTGTATATATGATGTTTGTGCATACATGAGGTTTGTGCATACAAGTTTGTGCATACATGATGTTTGTGTGTATATATGATGTTTGTGCATACATGATGTTTGTGTATATATGATGTTTGTGCATACATGATGTTTGTGCATACATTATGTTTGTGTGTATATAGATGATGTTTGTGCATACATGATGTTTGTGCATACATGTTTGTGCATACATGATGTTTGTGCATACATGATGTTTGTGCATACATGATGTTTGTGTATATATCATGTTTGTGCTTACATGATGTTTGTGTATATATCATGTTTGTGCATACATGATGTTTGTGTATATATGATGTTTGTGCATACATGATGTTTGTGTATGCATGATGTTTGTGCATACATGATGTTTGTGTATGCATGATGTTTGTGCATACATGATGTTTGTGTATATATGATGTTTGTGCATACATGATGTTTGTGTATATATGATGTTTGTGCATACATGATGTTTGTGCATACATGTTTGTGCATACATGATGTTTGTGTGTATATATGATGTCTGTGCATACATGATGTTTGTGTAAATATGATGTTTGTGCATACATGATGTTTGTGCATACATGTTTGTGCATACATGATGTTTGTGTGTAGTGTATATATGATGTTTGTGCATACATGATGTTTGTGCATACATGTTTGTGCATACATGGTGTTTGTGTGTATATATGATGTTTGTGCATACATGATGTTTGTATACTTCAGTATGTGGTGTTTGAGAATACATGATGCCTAGTGTACATGATACCTTGTTTGCATGTTTGTGCATACATGATGTTTGTGCATACATGTTTGTGCATACATGATGTTTGTGTGTAGTGTATATATGATGTTTGTGCATACATGATGTTTGTGCATACATGTTTGTGCATACATGGTGTTTGTGTGTATATATGATGTTTGTGCATACATGATGTTTGTATACTTCAGTATGTGGTGTTTGAGAATACATGATGCCTAGTGTACATGATACCTTGTTTGCATGTTTGTGCATACATGTTTTTGTGTATATGAAACCTGCATATTCAAGTTTGTGTGTACAGTGTCTGTGTGTACATAATGTTTGTGCACCATATTATGTTTGGATGAAAATGTCTGTGCATACATGATATTTACACTGTGCTTGTAATGACCCAGGTGATGACTTGTACGGACGTAAGGTGATTGTGTTCTCCGCTTGCAAGCTGCCGTCCAACAAGACATTTGATCACCAAAGGCTACTACAGTGAGTCTGGCTGTCCTCTCTCGCTCTCTGTGTGTGACAGCTACTGTTTGCTGTTTGGTCAATGATCGCTTTGTTTTCCAGCTACTGTATCCCAGTGTGTCTACTTTGGCATAACCTGAGTTATTTAGCAACTATCAAGCATTTTGCCCAGAGAAGTTGCTTACCACTCACATCCATGTATAAGACTCTCCTGTAAATGCCACTTAACTGACATGTCTGCAGTGGCCTATCCTCGAGAAACCTAGTTAACAATTTTGGCTTCTGTTTGCACCTGCTCAGTGTTTAGGAGGACCGGGTATGATTATATTTACTAAAAGTTGCATTTAAACAGGTTTTATTATTTATTATTGCCATTGAGACATCATAAACTGCTGATAGCCTTAGTATTCATTTACTGATGAGGTCACATGGTCATCATATGAGTTACCCTGTATATTTGTATCAGCTCAGGGAAATCTAATCTATTCTTCACCCTGTTCATATTTATTCATTGCTCCCCTTAATGTTTTCATAAAAATACAAATATAAATAAGTAAATGATTTTTCTAAACCTGTGTAAAATAGTGCTTTTTTCTTTTTTGAACAATTTTTTTCGGGAAAATCTGGTTATGAGCTTTTTTCTTCAGTTTGTTTCTGCGGTGAGGGGGTTAAACAAGGCAGTAGAACTGAGTCATCTCCACACTTAAAGTTGGCTGTAGTAGATGTGTACATCCACAACTGAATTGTATGAGATGAAGTACCAGAAAATGTAATACAAAGTAAAGGAAGCTTGTGTGATGTTAATCATTTCACCCGGCAAGTGCTGGTTATTATTAAAAAAAAAACAAAGAAATTTGGTCTAGCAGTGTCAGGGTTTAATGTGGCTATAGGATGTCGGGGTGTCAAGATAATGAATACGCGGGATAGCACTTAGTTGACCGCGTCCTGACGACATATTCAATAGCCCACAGGGGACTGTGACTAAGACTGGCAAGAGATGAATAAATCAACTCCAATCTACGGAATTCTCACTGACTGAAAGTGAGAGGTGAAGCTGAACAAAAGTGACAGAGGGACAGATTCAGGAGGAGATTTGTGAGAGAGGCTGAATGATACGGCCTGCTGTTCTGATAGTCAAATGTTCTCTGTGTTTGACTTAAATTAGCAACAAATGTTTTGTGATAACGCATTTAGTTTGACAGTAGAATTATTTAAGTGTTAGTCGAGGTTAGTGAGAGATAGGTTATTGTGTTTACTTATACTGATAGTCATTGATTTATTTAGTTATGTGTTAGCGAGATGGTTCGCTAAGGTTTTGTCTGGTTGTGTGACATGGTCTGTCCATTCACACTAGCTGAAACCAAGGAGTAGCCTAGCAGACCTGGTATAAGGAGCAGAAGCATAGAAAAGAGCTTGTAGCGGAGGCTGTTGGTTCGGACCCAGGTAATGCCTGGAACAACTGGATGGCCAGTGTGTGAGTGGTGATTGTGAAGTCCCCCCGGCCGGTTTGGGTAGGGTTGAAAGCCACCTCTGGGGTAAACTGTCCACTGCTTGTTGCAGATGATATTAAAGACTGATGTGAATGCTCTGATGGTGTTGGTTTATGTGTGTTTTAGGATAGACATTTCTGTCATGAGCTGCACATGAGCCATTTGGTGCAATGGCAGTAAAATAGGTACTTGACAAGCAGCAAATTGCCTGATGCGTCACTTGTGTGAAAAGGATCCATCACTTACAGAATGTATTCTGTGCATCTGTGTCGCTTAGAGCTTAGTGATTGCATTAACAATTTCATGATCCTTGAGTACTGGGGTTCAGTTTGCACTGTGGATGGTTTATTTCTAAAAGCAGTTTTCATGGTTTCTTTCAGTAGTGCAGGAGTAAGTAGAAGTCACTTTACACACCAGTGGCGCTTCAGGCACACAAGGCAGACTCATATTTTTATAGACTAAACGACCCTCAGGGGGTATTGTGGTCAACATCTTACGGCTGCCTTAACTTCTCAGGACTTTAACTGGTACCCTAGAAGACTGGGTCAGTTTGGGAGCCAAGGTCATGTTTGAAAAAAGATCTGAGTGCTGGAGTTGCATGTTGGAAATTGGGGATTGGGCTTCACCATGTAATAGTCCCAAAAACAGGAGTTGATGCACTGTGGCCAACCATCATTGCACAGAATTTAAAAGAAAATTGTCCTAATCTTGCCTTTTCTTTCTTCTTGCATCATTTCATTTTCATCCATTTATGTTAATTATACATATGTATGTGTGTGTGTCACATGCAGATACATCAGGCATACATTGGATAAATACGTTGAACAGGATTACGTGCTGGTATACTTTCATCATGGGCTACATAAGGGAAACAAACCCAAACTCTCTTGGTTGCTGCAGGCGTACAGGGAGTTTGACAGGAAGTTAGTACACCAATTATGTCCTTGTTATTTTATTCTTCTTTCTTCTTCTTTTGTCTGATGTCCAATTTATATGGCTTGTTGTCACAGTTTAACATGTGGGTCATCTGGGTAGAGATTTGATGTCACAGCATTTAGGACAAACCCGTATTTGCCTCGTATCCCTATTCACCCGCCAACGAAGGCCGTTCAGTATCTTCCATTTTACTTGTTACTTAGTCCCACAGGCAAGAGATCACTTCTGCATTGTGCAGTTGCAGTTCACCCCCCCCCCCCTTCCACTCCCCTTTTCCACCCACAATGGTTGCAGCCAGCCTGTCTGCCTGCTCATTCCCAAAGACACCTAGATGGCCCAGGCAAAATATCCATGTGACTCTCACCACCTGTGACCTCTGTATTGATGTGACCCATTTCATGTGAAGAAAACCTGATTCCACCTCCCTGAGCGTGATCTGCGAATCCGATACCATGACAACACGTGCGGCTGAGATTTTACCCTATTATTTGGAATGCTGCGGTTAATTACCGTCATCCTTCTCCCCATGATTTTGCAATGAAGCTGACAGTTTAACATATCAGAGGTAGCTTGGATGTGTGCTCGGTTGTTTGGTATAATTTTTTATGGGCTGTCATTGACTTCTTCAATCCACCTTCTATTAGAATTTCTCCTGCCTATTAATGTTTCCATTTTAATTTTGTATTTTTTTCACTGTTGACATTGTTGGATTCATTCTCACAAGGTGGCTGAACCATTTCAGTCTTTCTTTCTTATTTAATTTACAATGTGTAGTAAGTGTTGCAATAGTCCTTCTAATCTCTTTATTTCTTACATGAAATTTTTCTTGTTTTGTTTGTTCCCTTTCTCAAACATCTGATTTCAAAAATTGGTGTTGTATTGAATTATTGAATTTGGCATAGATTTTAGTTCTAAATTTATGTTGATGTTGGTTATGAACTTATACATTATATAAAATATTAGTTTACAACTTTAAGATTGCTGTAGATGTATACTGGACATTTTTTGATTGTTATAGAAATATATCATAAACATTCACAGATTGTTATAAGTTTACAGATTGTTATAAGATTTAGCATTTACAGATTGTAATAAGATTATCATTTACAGATTGTTATAAGATTTTCCATTTACAGATTGTTGTACATTTAACATTTACAGATTGTTATAAGATTTATCATTTACAGGTTATTATAAGATTTATCATTTACAGATTGTTAAAAGATTTAACATTTACAGATTGTTATAAGATTTAACATTTACAGATTGTTATAAAATTTATCATTTACAGATTGTTATAAGATTTATAATTTACAGATTGTTATCAGATATAACATTTACAGATTGTTATTTGACTTAACATTTACAGATTATAAGATTTAATGTTTACAGATTGTTGTAAGATCTAATGTTTGCAGATTGTTGTAAGATTTAATATTTAGGGATTGTTTAATGTATAAATAAAACATTTACTATGTGATTCTATGCTGTAAATGTTAATCACTGATGTAACACTGCTAATATCTATCATTAACTCTCGACTGTCCCCAGGTACAAAAAGAACCTCAAAATGTTGTACCTTGTTCATCCAACCAACTTCATCAAAATTCTGTGGAAAATATTCCGGCCTTTAATTAGGTGAGTGTTTCATTGATTCATTCATTGTGTTTCCAGGCCCGGTCTTTTGAAGATTTTATGCCCAGAATGTTAATCTGTCTCTCCATCAGTGCCAAGTATGTTCATTCTCTCTCTCCATCAGTGCCCAGTATGTTTATCTTTCTCTCCATCAGTACTCAATCTCTTTATCTTTCTCTCTCTTTCTCTCCCTCTCTCCCCCCCCCCCCCCAACCCTCTTCCTCCTTCCATCAGTGACCAGTATGTTTATCTTTCTCTCCATCAGTACCCAATCTCTTTCTCTCTCTCTCTCTCTCTCTCTCTCTCTCTCTCTCTCTCTCTCTCTCTCTCTCTCTCTCTCTCTCTCTCTCTCTCTCTCTCTCTCTCTCTCTCTCTCTCCCCACCCTTGCTCCTTCCATCAGTGACCAATATGTATTTTTTCTCTCCATAATTGCCCAGGATGTTAACCTATTTCTTTATGAATGCCCAGTATGTTCTGTCTCTTTTTCCCCCCATCAGTGCTCAGGATGTAAATCTATCTCTCCATCAGTGCTCAGGATGTAAATCTGTCTCTTCATCAGTGCCCAGTATGTAAATCTGTCTCTTCATCAGTGCCTAGTATGTAAATCTGTCTCTCCATCAGTGCCCAGTATGTAAATCTGTCTCTTCATCAGTGCCCCAGTATGTAAATCTGTCTCTCCATCAGTGCCCAGTATGTAAATCTGTCTCTTCATCAGTGCCCAGTATGTAAATCTGTCTCTCCATCAGTGCTCAGGATGTAAATCTGTCTCTCCATCAGTGCTCAGGATGTAAATCTGTCTCTCCATCAGTGCTCAGGATGTAAATCTGTCTCTCCATCAGTGCTCAGGATGTAAATCTGTCTCTTCATCAGTGCCCAGGATGTAAATCTGTCTCACCATCAGTGCCCAGTGTGTAAATCTGTCTCTCCATCAGTGCCCAGGATGTAAATCTGTCTCTTCATCAGTGCCCAGTATGTAAATCTGTCTCTTCATCAGTGCCCAGTATGTAAATCTGTCTCTTCATCAGTGCCCAGTATGTAAATCTGTCTCTTCATCAGTGCCCAGTATGTAAATCTGTCTCTTCATCAATGCCCAGGATTTAAATCTGTCTCTCCATCAGTGCCTAGTATGTAAATCTGTCTCTTCATCAGTGCCCAGTATATTCAACTTCTCTCCATCAATGAAATATATATGTTAATAAATGTCTGTCTCTTTCTCTGTCTCTCTCTCTCTGTGTCTCACTCTCTGTCTCTCTCTCTCTCTGTCTCTCTCTGTCTCTGTCTCTGTCTCTCCCTCCCTCCCTCCATATCACTGCCCAGTTTAATCAAACTTCAAATAAGTAATTTTTCATGTCAGGTCATGTTTGTGCAATATATGTTAACATGTCTCTTCATCAGCAATGTAAATCTTAATCTGCCATCAACATGACTGCATGCTAATCTGTCTCAGTATTCATGCTAATCTATCTCGGTATTCATGCTAATCTATCTCGGTGTGCATGCTAATCTATCTAGGTATTCATGCTAATCTATCTCAGTATTGATGCTAATCTATCTCGGTATTCATGCTAATCTCTCTCGGTATTCATGCTAATCTATCTTGGTATTCAAGCTAATCTCTCTCGGTATTCATGCTAATCTTTCTCGGTTTTCGTGCTAATGCATCTCGGTATTTATGCTAATCTATCTCAGTATTTATGATAATCTATCTCGGTATTCATGCTAATCTATCTTGGTATTCATGCTAATTTTTCTCGGTATTCATGCTAATTAATGCATCTCAGTATTTATGCTAATCTATCTCGGTATTTATGATAATCTATCTCGGTATTTATGATAATCTATCTCGGTATTCATGCTAATCTATCTCGGTATTTATGATAATCTATCTCAGTATTTATGCTAATCTATCTCAGTATTCATGCTAATCTATCTCGGTATTCATAATAATCTATCTCGGTATTCATGCTAATCTATCTCCGTCAATAATTATTGTGCCAGTGTTCTTCAGCCTGTGGTCTGTGGACCAGTTGAGGTCCACAGCTTTCTTCTTCCTTACGTTCACCAGCTATAAAACTCCAAGTGACAACATCTGGTTGTTCATCCACTTCTGAACTTTAGTCTTGTTTCAGAACTTTAGTTTTGCATGCACATCCTTATTACAAATCTAGCTCATTTATATGCAGACTGTTGGTTCCCCACCACATTGGCAGATGCACTCCCACTTAAAAGAAAACACCCCTTTTACAACACCTTTTCAACTTTTGTGACATGCTTGTTAAGGAAGGAATAGTGAGTCTGTTCTATTTTTAATCCTCAAACGGGGCACCAGAATGCATGCAGGGATTGCCCACATAAATATCCTGGTAGTCTGCCAAAAAGGTCTGCCTTCATATCTGGGGCATCCGTTTCATTAAATAAACTGTTATGTGCATTGGTTTTTGTCCATAAAACAATATTCCCTGTTTTAATTGCCTGCTAGTGTTGAAGGTTGAAGAACACTGATTTATGTCAGTCAGTCTCTCACATGTGTGCATTATTATGTATGCTGTAAGTGTTAATTTCTCAATCCATCAGTGTCAAGTTTGGCCAAAAGATGATGTACGTCAACTATCTTGTGGAGCTAAAGAATTATCTCCCCCTTGAGCAGCTCTTGATTCCAGACCCGGTCTTACAGTGAGTACTTGTTGTCTCATTAGAGTTGCTGCCTTAGAGTGACTGTCTAACTGTGGGTATTCTTTGTTGTGTTAGGGTGACTTTTTTTGTCTCAATAGAGTGGCTGTTTTAGAGTGGTTGTCTTACAGGGAATACTTTTGTGTCTTATTAGAGTAGCTATCTTACTATGGGTACTTTTTGTCTTATCAGAGTGACCATCTTACTGTTGGTACTGTTTTAATAATAGAGTGGCTGTCTTACTATGATTACTTTTTTATATTATTGGAGTCACAGAACATACTTTTTGATTTGTTACTGTGGCTGTCTTACTGTAATGCAGTGCAGAGATGTTTGTGAGAAAATCTTCAGAATTAGCACCTATGTGTAAGAACACTGCATACCTTTGGGAAAGACAGCACAGATGGTAAGAGAAATTAAATCGAATAATATTAATATGTTAGGATTTTGTGAAACAAGATGAAATAGAGCAGACAAAAAGCTTCAAAACACAGGTAAAAAGTGAAAAATAAAGGACCCTTAACATAGTGGTATTCACTTCAGGCATATGATGCTAGGATTATGTTTCAGCCCTCTTTGGGTGATGTGGTCAATATCACACAAGCACCCTTTACTTCCCACAACTTTACCTGGTACTCATTTAAGACGGCAAGCACAGGTAAAACGGTATTATTCTCACACCAAACATTGCCTCTGTGGGTTCTGGATCACACTTTATTCCCCCCCCCCCCCCCCAATCCCAACAAGATTGTCATAAAAAGTGACTAACTGCGGTATTCTGTAATCAGGTGTATTGGTCTGAAAGATAAAAATATCACAGCCCTGCTGTAAATACCAACATAACATGCCTACCACCATTTTAAGGAAGATGAAGAAGACATTAAGCAGGACAATGCCCATAATGGTGAAGTAGTGGCCCTATTGATTCCTAAGACAAAGAGAAGCCAAATAGATTAGGAGCCAGTGGACTGTAAAATAATAACAGCTTCATTTAGAATCAACACAATCTTTATTTGGGCTCCAGGGCCCTATTTTAGGTAAAAAAATAGAACAGTCTCTGTGCCCCATAACCTTGTCACTCCATGACCTCTTAAAAAAAGATTATTGGAACTGGGAATTCTAGAAAAAAATTCATACAAATACAAAATTTTATGAGTTGGTGTCAAATAATTGTGAAGCTATGGCATTTTTAGTTAGTTAATCGACAGATTATTATCCTCACTGCACGTCCATAAGTGCTCGGATCCCCTTCTTGGTAAATCCCGCAGAGTGTAGCGGCTAACGACACCAGTTCTGTGTTGGTTTATTATTCTCCTTTGACTACCCGCATAGTGTTCTTGTTTGGCGAGACCCTGTTTAACATTTTGTTCTTGTAGTTTGACCATGGTTGCAGATTCACAGTTCTCAGTTGGTTTACGCAAACATCCTTACTCTCTTAGAGCATTCAGTATATCAGCCTGGTTCATGGCTTGTCTGGCTTTCACAGTAGCCTTAGCTGCAAGTCTATCAGCTTGCTCATTTCCTTGTACCCCCACATATCCTGGCACGGATTATGAAATCCTTGTCAGCCGTGAATTCAATAGATCCACCAGCCATTGCCTTCGGACCCAGCCCTTCTCTATCTTCCTGAGCATAATGATCGAGTCACTGAGAAAGCATGCCTCAGTGAAAGTCTGTGTCTTTAGCCATGTAACTGCTTTAGTCACAGCCATGACCTCCATAGTCAGACTACTTGTAGTTACTGCAAAAGCTCCAGAATCGTCCTTCACGACTCTCCCTCCAAACTGAGCCGAGGAAGCTGAAGGCACTTGCATCCACTTCTCGCCGGGTTTTGTGTCCTCAAGTGAACATACCTATAAAATAATGTCCTTGGCTTGACCTGTCCACGATTTGCCTCTTTTTAACCTACTGCTTTTATCTTTTTGATTTGACTGTGTAATGGATGTTGTGTGTCCGCCTTGGCTGTGAGGTAGGCACGAGCTCAGGAAATTTGTATTCTGTCTTCCATGGTTGGAAAATCAAGAAGGTAGCGCATAGCCCTGCATGCTGTATCTCTTGTACACCCAAGTATAATGCGCATAGCCTGGTTCTGTATCCTTTCCGTCCTTTCCATCAGCTTATGGCTGAGAATCAGGATTAAAAAACAGAAAGGACCAGACCCTGTTATAAAGGTAAAGGTAAAGGTAAAGTCGGGAGATGTGAACCAGCGTCATTGCACACGGTTGTAAACCATAAGTGCTCTGCTACCAGTACAGCTTATAAGAATTGTCCGCCCGTGTCGCCGTCTGCACGTAACTGTGGCTTCAGCGACGTTCCTCCATTTACCCCAGAGTGTCAACTCTGGTACCCATTTCCTAGAGGCTGGGTGAACTCCGGGAGCAGCCGGGTTTCGAACACTGACCGTGGGCTGCAGCGAGTCACAGCTGGATTCGAAAGCGAGCCTCTTATCGACTGCGCTACTGCAGCCCTGGTATAGAAGATATAGATGATGCTGCTCAAAGTTTGCCGCCGCCATCACTCTCATCGCAGCCAGAACCCGCTTGGCTTTCATTATAATCTGATCTATGTGCTCAGTATAAGCAAGGCTTGGCATTTTTAGTAGACACTAAAATATGTATCAAGGAATGTTCAAGATCAGTGGTCTTGGTAGTCAGTGGGCTTGGTATTCAGTGGGCTTGGTACTCAGTGGGCTTGGTAAATCAGTGGGCTTGGTAATCAGTGGGCTTGGTAAATCAGTGGGTTTGGTAAATCAGTGGGTTTGGTGAACCAGCGGGCTTGGTAAATCAGTGGGCTTGGTAAATCAGTGGGCTTGGTAAATCAGTGGGCTTGGTGACAAGTGGGCTTGGTAAATCAGTGGGCTTGGTAAATCAGTGGGCTTGGTAAATCAGTGGGCTTGGTAACCAGTGGGCTTGGTAATCAGTGGGCTTGGTAACCAGTGGGCTTGGTAACCAGTGGGCTTGTAACCAGTGGGCTTGGTAAATCAGTGGGCTTGATAATCAGTGGGCTTGGCAAATCAGTGGGCTTGGTAAATCAGTGGGCTTGGTAAATCAGTGGGCTTGGCAAATCAGTGGGCTTGGTAACCAGTGGGCTTGTAACCAGTGGGCTTGGTAAATCAGTGGGCTTGATAATCAGTGGGCTTGGCAAATCAGTGGGCTTGGTAAATCAGTGGGCTTGGTAAATCAGTGGGCTTGGTAAATCAGTGGGCTTGGTAACCAGTGGGCTTGGTAAATCAGTGGGCTTGGTAACTAGTGGGCTTGGTAATCAGTGGACTTGGTGATCAGTGGGTTAAGATCTGTCTGCTTTTTTCTTCTTCTGTGAACTGATACCTAAAGCAGTGTTTCCCAAACTGTTCTTGGTTGCGGCGCCTTTTGTTCAATGACAATTTTTCCATTATACCCTAACCTAAGTGAAATTATAACTATTCGTGTCTTGATGAAATTAATTATGAAGCTCTCACAATATTTCGTGGCACCCCTATGAAGAGGTTGCGGCTCCCTGGGGCGCCGCAGCGCAGTTTGAGAATCACTGACCTAAAGGTTCAACTGCCCCTGAGGCTAAAAATCTCATCCTGGATGGAACACCATCAGGGCAAACCTAGATATCCTGTTCAACCTCCCAAGAAGTTATAATTAAGGCACCTAAAATGACTACACAGAATATTACTTAGAGTAATTTAGATAATGAGAGTATGTATGACAATCTCGGCGTATGATGATTTTAGGGATTTATGTAATATTACACTAACACTGGCTGTATTTATCACTTTTGCGGGGAGGGAGGGAGGGCGGGGCGGTATTTTATTATACCCGAAAGAACAAAATAAACCATAAACTGCGCAGTAAGTGATGACTGCACTAGCCTTGTGGTCCTAAGTCCTCAGACCCAAATGCCCGAGGATTTGAATCTGGACTCCTGCATGAGAACCCACCATTATTAACCATTTAGCCCGCTTTTCCTTTGCCTGCATGGCCCTAAAAAAATCTAACTACAGGCAGTAAGGACAATTACCTGAGGCAGTCACCAAGGAGATGACATGTATATGGTGTGCATGTGTAGCTGTGTGAACACATACTAATATAGCTAACATAGTGTTGGTCTGTGTTCATTGTTGTGTAACATACCTGTCCTCAGTGGCGCTGACATTCGGAAAATAAAAATGTTGGCCTAAGCGTTGTTAAAGTGCTAAAGTGTTTTATACATAAATACATACACATGTACATACATACACACACACGCACGCACGCACGCGCACACACACACACACATACACTGATTTACCAAGCCCACTGACTACCAAGCCCACTGACCACACACACACACACATACACACACACATACACACACACACACACATACACACATACATACACACATACATACATACATGCATACACACGTACATACACATTATGCAACATACGCGTGCAGACACACACGCATACATACAGGCACACGTGTGCATGCACATACATAAATGTGTGTAAATAATATTATAAGCAAATACTTAACATGGAACTTCTATACATGGGATGACACTCATTGGGGAGTGGGTCTTACTCTCCTTACATATTGGAGGAAGGGGAGGGAAAGGGGGAGGGGGGGCTGCTTGGCCCTCAAATAGGGTTTATTCTCAGCATGTCCTTGTTGATTTATCTTGTTATTTTATGTTTATTGTGTCTACATTGTTGTATTATTTTAAACAATAATTGTAATGATTACTTTTATTTTGCGACCCGGGGGGGGGGGGGGGGGGGGGAGGGGTCGCTCAGGAGACCTAAGCCTCAGGGTCTGGCGTCTACGAATGTCCTAGCCCTAAAACATTTTCCATGCACACATTTACATGGAGATGAGTGTAAAGGGAGTGGATAGGTGGGGGGGGGGGGGTGCTCAGGAGGCCTTAGCCCCAGGGTCTGGTGTCTAAGAATGTCCTAGCCCTAACACTTTTTCCATGCACTCTCAACTTTTAAATCTGTTAAATTTTTTTAGTTTATGCAATAAGGTGG